GGTTTGATGAATATTTACAAGAAGCGTATCATCAATCCCTTCCTGATCGATAATTATATTATGTAATAAACAGATACATTTAACTATTGTGTCTACGTGATCTTCATTAACTTGTAATTCCGTTTTTAGACACCTCCACTTTGATACTAATATACCAAATGTACATTCTATCATTCGTCTGGCTCGACTAAGACGATAGTTGAAAATTTCTTTTTCTGGATCCAAATTTGTGGTGCATGGATATGGTCGCATCAAATATTCTTTTAGTGGATATCCTTGGTCTCCCAATAAAACAAAAGGCATTGGAATATTTGTGTTTGGAAGTGGTCTGTTGGGTGGTACATTAAAAGAATTTGTTTCTAGGTAATTATATATATTAGACTCAGTAAATACACCGCTATCACTCTGTTTTCCATACGCTCCTATGTCCACTGTAATAAATTTATATTTTGCATCACACACGCCTTGCAAGTGTACCGAAAAATAATTTTTATAGTTATAAAACATTGAACCAGTTTTTTTTGGACATTTTATGCGGATGTGTTTACCGTCAATGCACCAGATACAATTAGGAAAATTCCACAGAGTTTCAAAATCGTGAGCAATCTGGTAAAACATATCTTTCGTCGGAAAAGGCATATGAATTTGTCCAAAAACATTCCAAATTGTGTTACATGTTTCATAAATTATTCCACTGATCGTGTTATGTGCCATACGAAATGAAAATGCTAATGATCTATAAGGAGTTCCCGTAGATAGAAACCTAAAACATAATTTAAAATGTGTAAGTTAGTAATCTAAACCTAATTACACACTTAAGAAAAACACCTAATCATACAAAAATCATAATCATATACAGGGTGTAATATTAAGACTTGACAGATTAAATGATTTACAATTTTATGGTAGAAACATTAATTATCTAAGTCAAGTAGTTTATTTTTTAGAATTTTTTACAATATCAATATTTTTTTAGTAAATTAATTTAGAACGTAATAACTTTTTTCAAAATATTTTTTTTAGGAATTTGCTGATATGAGTATATTTCTTAAATTATTTTTTACCTAATAATATAATTTCCTCAATTTTTGTCCTACATTGAAGTGAAGTAGCATCATTTTTTTTTTCATGTTTTCCTGTTACACTTGTAGTTGGTGTAACCTATAGATTACAATAAGAGTGTGACATCAAGTACAACGTTTATTATTTTTTATTACAGAAAACAAAAAAATTAAATATCTTATGTACATTTTTTTTAAAGCTCAAAATAGCCTATTTTAGATTTTGAGCAGAGCGATGTATGCATATGTAATGATTTTACAATGATGTTTTTTTCAGTGTGTACACAATAAGTTATCGAAATAATGATTCGATTTTCAATTTTAGTATCTTTTCTGCTGGGAAAGAGAATCTAGTATTAGTACATTGGAAGGTTGCAAAATTAGTTGAGTAATGAGTTGGAAATATAAAAATATCATAGATATGAAAATTTAATAAGTACAAAGTTCCTAACAAGTTTATCTACCTTAAACAATAAAAATATGTTTCCTGGAGAGTCAAGTTAAATTTTTATAAGCGTTTTTTAGAAAAACTTAAAATTTTTACAACATTCGATTTTCAATAGATTTCTCACGGAACGATTTTCTTATTTCATTTGTTATTTAATAACGAATAACCACAGTTACATACAAATTACACCAAATGTTTATTTTATCTTAATGAAATACATACTAAAAATATTTTGAGTCTTTTTGAGCTGTTTCAATTTTAATTTTTTTTGGTTTTTTTTTCTACAAATGTCAATAAAATTGTATTCATTGCATCAAAAAAATTTACTTTATAATACAATAATCCTCGAACATTGTTTCAATATCCATTTAAAAATATTAAAAATACATAGGCAAGATTTTTTTTGCAAGCATTTTAAGTTCTAATTTTGACAACATTTATCAAATTGAAAATTTACAAATTATTTTATTGGTAGCAAAAATGTATAAAATTTTACATTTGTATACCTAAGGATTAAAAACTTTAAAAAAAGGTTAGTTTATACTGTAACTCAAAAATCAAAAAAGATGGGTTAAGTTGATGTCGCTCTGCTGTACAGTAGGTGTGCAAGTGGATGTTAATTTTGAATTCAATGATATAATATCATTGTATACGAAAAACAATTCTGAGCTGAGACGGTTTGTCATGTGGATATTTTATATTATATTTATATATTGTAATTACTTATTGGTTATTATAAATACGGTTCGCAGGAGGTTAAATTAAAATTACAACAAAATAACTAAAATCGTTTTTCTTGGTTATTTTATATGTAATTTCGTCCTAATATGAACAAAAAATAACTATAAAAAAAAAACTGTGTGTTTATATTTTTAATTACAGAATAACCTACTTACATGGTACCTTCTTTTTAATTTTAAATCCTTAGCTATAAAAGTTGAACATTTTATCAATTTTTAACTACAAAATAATTTTAAAATTCCCGTTTTTCCTTGATTTTTTGTTTGTTTTTCCCGGCGCTATTGAAAACTATTGGGACATTTTTACTGACCTCCTGAATGTACCATCTAGATTCACTTTGCCACATTCATCGCTCTGCTTAGAATCTAAAACTATGGCTATGTATATTTTTTAGATTTTTTGGTAACAGAATTAATTACATTTTAAAAAATTATAGAAACAACATTTTTCTTAAATAAATATTAACATCATTTTTACAATTTTTTTTATTTGATTTAATTATTTGATAATATAGGCGATCTATTAAAAACCAAATGGCAAAATTTAAGAGATACCTATAAAAAAGAATTAAACAAGAACAAAAAACCAACAGGATCTGGGTCTGGAGGAAGCTCATCGAAGTGGAGATTTTATGAAACATTGTCTTTCTTAAAGGATATTGAAACACCAAGACAAATGATAGGTAATATCCCAACACCAATGTCGGTGAATGAATTGGAAAACACTAGGGATATTAATTCACCAGAAAGCGATTGTATTGACGTCGTAAACGAAGACTTAAATACATCGGAAAAATCACATGAAACAACAATGGGTATGGATTCTTCATATTATGAGCAATTACCAGCGAAAAAAAAAAAACTAATAAAAATGATGCAATTAGTGATTTGCTTAATATCGAAAGACAAAAACTACATCATTTTAGTAAAATAAATGAAAATTCGCAAAAAAAAAACCCCATCATTGAAGACGAAAGTTTTCATTTTATGGTAAGTTTGGTACCTTACTTGCAAGAACTTCCAGACAATAGAAAATTGTTAATTAGACATAAGTTGCAACAAGTATTTTTAGAAGAGCAAGAAAGATGTGACAGCAATAGATTAAATCAAAATGATTTAAATCTGAGATATTTACAGCCAACACGTTCCGAAGAATCGAGCCAAGCATGTTCTAATATACATAATGATTCTAACCAATTCATTGCAAGTTATACTCAAGAACCAAATCAAACTTTTGCCACAGCTAGTTCTACATATTATTAAGTGTTCATAGTTATTGTTATCTTTTAATGTTTTATATTATTTTATAATTTATCTCTTATTGAAGTAAGTAAATCGTTTTTTTTCTACAACATATTTTTTGAATAGTGTTAGAATATAATTTTACGTTTTCAAGTTTAGGAACGCTCATTTTATTAATTTTTCTTATACAATAAGTAATTATTATGTTATTTTTTCAGTATTATACATTTATTCATACATATTTTATTTACACATAATTTTTCGTTTGAAAGAGGTGTACTTATGATTTTTTTTTGTTACAAAAGTACTAAGTATATTTTTTAAGAACTTTACTTTTAAAGTACTATGTTTTTATAATAAAATATTATAACACATTACATAATATAAAATGTTATATTGTTACTCACTATATACACATTTACAATACAAAATATCCCACTTACCTTAATGTAACTACTAGTCTTTCTTCAGGTGTAATACAAATTCGGAAGTTTGAATATTTTTGGAGCTGGAAACGAATTTTCTCAAGAATATAGAAAAAAGTATTCGGTGTCATTCTTAAATATTCATAAAATTTTACTGGTTGTTCCAGGAGTTTAGGGAAAAGAGTATGGAATTCACCAAATCTTTCTCTATCTTCATATATTGTATTCACCCAAACTTTTTTTTCTTCTTGTAACAGTAAGTACTTTAAAATAGGGCTTGTTTCTAACAAGTAAATGTGGTCACAGACGTCCATCCTGACAAAAATGTAAACCACAACTGAAACATGCACGTCTATGATGCATAGGTATTTAATAATTATCGGATTAATTTATTTTTCGGACGAATACGGATCAAATGTGACCGCCGAATTTTGATCCGAAAATATCGAAGATTTCGGCCGAATATAGTTCGGCCGAAATCGGATAAAGTCTGACCGTACCCTAAATGCTTAATGTTTTGAATATAGACTTCCGACTTGGGTACCTTATCATTAATATGAATTGTAGTCTAAGGAAAAAATTCCAATTGATCCAAATTTTTTGATGAAAAAAATATTATTTGTACATGTAAATAAATATAAGCAGGTACCTTTTGTAATTACTAGCTTCTACTTTTTGTAATTACTAGCTGTTTTTCAACATAATATCTCATTCTATTAAGTACAAGTAAATCTTTAATCGTGCCATCGTGGCTTTGGCGGTTTTCTACCGAAGATGGGAATGTTTGAAAACCGTGTTTGAATGTGTATATCAAGTCAGTGAGTCTTTCATCGAAATTGGACCCGGTGGGCCCCATACCATGTGACCATAAGAAAGCCTGGTAAAAATGAAAAAATAAAAGAAAGTCATAACTCATAAGTGTAAGGTTTGATACCGTGTTTGATTTCGAATAAAATATTGTTACGTATATTACGTCAATAGAATTAATTAATTAATCAATAATCAGCCACACTGTCCTTTATGTCAATTTCGTCACCCGCACGGGTTACCTGCGTTGTAATTCTTGTTATTGTCGTCGTAAACCGTCTTCAAACAATAATTAAATTAACTGCACCGAGTCCCGACGCAACGTTCAGACGTTCTCAGAGTTCCGACGTTCACGGAACAAACGCCGTCATGGGCAACCCATTGTGAGTATATACAATGCATTATTATTCTGATTTTTTACTATTTTAATTTGTTGCTTTTAAATTACACCTATTTTTATGAATAAGTTTTCTGTGTGCACAAATATTAATCTGTACAACGAATGAATACGATATAAAAATGATGTCTCTGTTAACCAAATTTAAAAACTTCCTCGTGACACCTCGTGGTATCCATTGAGCTGTCCAACTTTTTATTTTTATTTTATACATTACACATACATATTTGAGTTGCATTAACCGGACAAAGAAAACTAATATTGCGCTGACGTCCTCTTAAAGTTTTCGTCTTTTTACATTTTAGATTGGAGAAATGATGTCGCGTGTGTCCAAGTGTACGGGTGTAACGGTGAACACGTACATCATGAAAAAATAAATTTATTTTGTCATGACGTACATATCCCATAACTACGCACCGCCGTTACACCTGAACTCGGACACCCTTCCCGCCACCACCGCAAGCCGCCTTCGGGCACCAAAAAAAATAAAAAATTAAAGAAACGTTAGTAGATAGGAACATTTAAATGTTTACTAATAAAATTATAACTATTGCCTACATCGTGTTTCAAGATGCTACAGGTCGAGGATTGCCGCGGTGAGGGTTTATGCACTATATTTATACTAAATATAAATATAATTTATTTTTGTTACGTTAATAGCCCCCCATACAGCTAGACGGCTGCAGCAGCGGGATCGGACCACAGATATATATAATAACTAGATACCCGACTTCTTCTTATCAATGACGCTGGCAGCCATTTACAACTATGGCAATGTTTACAATGATAACAATAGTTCATATCAAACAAGCCTGTTGCCCAACTTACTGACTAGTGACTACAACTTTACTGTGGTACTGACCCTTTTTCGACGATTATTGTAGGTTTTTGAATAATTATTAATTTAAGATGGTGATGTCATGTTGTGTACATTTTTGCACGAATCGACATTCAACAAATGAAGTTAGAAAAATACACTTTTTCTCGTAAGTATTATAATATTAACCCATTACAATTAACATTTTTAAAATTGTCTTAAACTAAGGATCAATATTTTATATACTAACGTTATGTACCTACTATAAAACTAATTTATTATTATTAGATATTATATGTTTTTGCTTTTTTAATTTGTATTTTCAATAGATTTCCACTTAAAGATGCAGAAAAAAATGAGTTATGGATAAAGGCAGTAGGTCGAAAAGAATTTATCCCTTCTAAATATAGCAAGGTGTGCAGTGATCATTTTGTTCAAACTGATTTTAAACAAACTGTTGGTGGTAGCTACAAGTTGAAGCTTAACTCAAACGCTGTGCCTTCAATTTTTCCATCATATTCCAAACATGTGTCTCAATTAAAAATACCGGAACTAGGTAAATTAAATGAATATATAATACCAAGAATTGTTCTAATTTTTTAATTATAAATTTTATTATTTTATTTCAATTTAGAAGGCATTGAACCTATTTCACCAGATTTGATCCCACTCTTAAATACAACTAATTTGACCCCAAGTACTATCGTAACATCTAGTAATAATCCAGATTTACCAATAATGATTACACCTGAAAGGTCTGTTATTAATACCAGTTTTGAGCCATTATTAATAACACCATCAAGAGCAATTTTCTCTAGATCAAACTATATTCAAAGAATTAGATTGCACTAATATAAGTATTTTGGAAAGACCTCATAAGATGATAATTATTAGTTTATTAACAAAAAAGTACCTGAGTGTTAGGCTTAAATCATTGGGAAAAACAACTTCAAACAATTTTGCAGTTAGTAAACGTCAAAAACTGACAAAATTGATTTTGTTTGCTAATCAGTAATTATTAAAATATACCTATATTTAACTATATGTAATTATGTATATTTTTCACTGTAATTACATTTAATACACCTATATTTACCTGTGTGTAATTATGTACATTTTTCACTGTCATTACATTTAATGTAGACTATGCTTCTTCTCCCTAGCCTCTATCCAGTACTTCTTTTTCGGTCTTCCTAGCTGTTCAAAATAGACTATGATTGATGACATATTTCTATGATCATAAAGAGTGAAGTTGAGGGTCAAAATCAATTGAACCAAATTTTGAAATGGGCAGCTTACAGTAAAGTCCATTAATTCATATTCACTGATTCTTCGATTTAAACTTATATTTTTAGGCTTACAGTAAATCGTACAATGTAAAATGAGTTGAACTTAACTGGTTCATCCATCAATTATGGTAAAATTATGTATAACTGTATAAGAAACTTGTAATAATATTAAGTTTATGAAAATATAATTATATTATGAAATATTTGTATCACGATGAATGATATCAAAACGATTAAAAAATGATAAGAATTTGTAAACATTGCCATAGTCACAAATGGCGTCGGGCATCATAATTTAATAACGTTGTGGTATATGGAGTCGGGTATCTAGTTATTATATATATCTGTGGATCGGACGCATAGGTCGCCGCTGGCCATTCGGCCGCCCCGTAGTCCGGGGTCGCGGCACCCTAACCTAACGGGCACCCAGCGACAGCACCGCCACCACCGGCTACGGACGATGTAAGTAACGCGCATTAAAAATAATTATAATGATTAGGGTTCGGGACTTCTTGCACTTAAAATTATCGAAATATGCAGTCAAAATCGTCAAAATATGCAGCTAATTTTTTATTTTGTTTTTAAAAAACGTAAGATATATTATAAATTATTATTATGAGAATAAAAATTTAAAAATTAAGTACGTAGGTACTTAATATGATAAAAATAATTTTTACACGGGATACTCATCTCCATCTGTATCAACCTAGGATTCATTAGGTTTTACCACTACTATACAATTGTCGATAAAAAGGTTGATTATTAAGCGATAAAGTGACTATCATCGTAAACGGACGTACGTGTTAGATACGACAGGCCAAGACCATCCAATTATGATTTTTCCCGACAATTTTACGTTTATAAAAATATAAAAATGTGAAATATGCCCGAATAGGTTAAAAATTACTCAAATATACGCTTTTCATAAAATATGCAAAAATATGCAAATTCAAACTTAGTATTTAATTTCGTCATTTCATATTACACATTTATAACTCACTTAGAATAGACTACGACCACTACAAAAAAACATGTAAATGCAAGAAGTCCCGAACCCTAATAATTATCCTAATAACATCCTAATCCTACATGAATTGTAGGACATGGAAGAACAAACGATACGGGTTATGGAGGGACCATTGTAAGTTGTCAATTAGATAAATTTTTTTTAATGTATACCATATTTCATTTATTGTTTTTCAATTGAGATTGCTAATTTTATGAATTATTTACAAATTGCAGAAGTTGGATGAGTCCTGCGTGACGGCTGTAGAGGGACCATTGTAAGTTGTCAACTGGAGAATTTATTTTAATATCATTATAACAGTATATCTGATTTATTTAATGTTTTTCAGATGAATAAAAATTTTTTTTTCAAATATGTGTTGTTTTTTGATATCTTAACGTGCTAACAGTCATGGTTTACTTATTATGTGTCTATACTATATTTTCTAAAATAGTTTGTCAGTTTTAGATCTGAACAATAATAATAGGGATAGGCAGTGAAATACAAATAAAATATTGCATGACATACAGTATGCGTACAAAAAGATAAGTCATAAGTGCACTTACAATTTTGTTTTTATTTTCAAGATTGTAACTTAAAGTTAGTAAGTCTGAACAAATTAACATGAACATAGTAATAAATAAAATATAGACATAAAGTGTAGAATATATACAAATATATATCAGAAGTGGTACATACAGAACATTGCGACTCAATGTAGTTTATGTTATAGTTAGATGTGTTAATGATAAATTAAAAGCGATCCACAATGATGAAGCTTATGAAATGTTACATTTCATCATAGTATAGGTTATATAGAAATATAATAATAATAATAAGTGTAAATAAACTATTAGGGTATTTTTTTTTAGATAATAATGGTAACTGTATCATATTGTGTATAATAAATTAATAATAATAGGTTGGAAAAATAGATAAAAAGATAAGTCATGCAATATTATTTATTTTTTACTCAACTTTACAAAGTTTAGAGAAACAAACATGAATTCACATTGATGATGACTGATGAGTAATAATAAGTATAAATAAAATGTTAAGAATACAGTTATATTAGCTATTTAACATTAAATTGTGTTTAATAAAAGTTATTATGTGATTTAACCAGACAAGCCAGAGCACCTTCGTGCTATAGTCAATCTTTTAATTTATTATTTTGGACTTGGAAAATATTCAGGTTAAACCGATTACTTTTCCAAACAATTAGAATAATTCTCTTTGAAAAAATTCTTATACAGACTAATAGCTTACCCGTTACATTTAAAGTGTCTATGTTTACAATAATACAATAAATTATAAAAACATTCATTTCCAAACTACACCTCATCCTCTTTCTCTCAGCGACACGCCGACACCTGTAGTTGTCAGACAACTACAATACCTACAACATATCATTTTACTTTATTTATGAACACTGTATGAAAACGTATAAAAGCATTACTGGCAAAATTGTATTATCAAGCGTAATTTAAATTAAAACACCTATAAGTAGAAAAACGCCCATATTGAATTTGTTTATTGTTGCACTATTTAAGTTTAAGTTATAGCTCACAACTGCAGAAGATATAAAAACATAACTAAAAAATTGATACTCATTACATTAAGTACCATAAATTACGACGTAACGAAAATAATCATACTAAAATCTATAGCTACCTTGTCTACTAAGGACAAAAATTGATAGTTACATTATCCTATACTACGTTCATACAATTAATAGCATACAAAGTATTAGTATATATTATAATTGAATTAAATACCAAGATTGTGGAATAAATCGATTTCCGATTAATTTAAATTAGATACATAAATAGTTTATAATTTGAATTATTTAAAATTTATAAAAAGTTAAATGTAAATAAAATGTAATCAAAATCGATAGCTGTTAAATATTTCGATGGCTGAAAAAGAAACGAAACATTTAAACATCTAACCATGAAGATGCCGAGCCGTCTATTTGGTTTCGACTCGAAAAACATACACAACATTTAACATTGAGTTTTATTTTTTGTTAATTTAGTAACGGTTTTTGTAGGTTAATAGTTAATATATTAGTATATTACATACAATTATTGTACATTTAGCAATACCACAACTTTAAATAAAATAAATAAATTTATTATCTATATAATTTACTTAGACAATTTATCTATATAATGACCAACACTGGTTTTGGCCATGAATATATTTCGTATTTTCTTATAGTTATTTGATTTCCATTCTAACATGGGTACCTATACTAAAGTCTAATACAGAGTGAGTCGAGTTAAGAAAAACAAAAGTTCTATTTCTATTTTGAATTATAATATTATAGAAGATCAGTTGAAATAACTTACTTCGTCTTAAATGTCTGCTGTAGGCAGTATAAATGAAATTCAGAATTTAAAATGTCGCTCCTCCTAATGACCACAACTTATTTTTATTACCACTAAAGTAGCACAAGGTATTAAAAACAGAATTCAAAAAATTATTTGAATAGTTAAACTCTTAAAATATATGTTAACCAATAATTAAGTACTTAAAGCAGTATAATCGCGTATTGTTAAAATTAAAAACTAAAAAATGTGGAAATCGAACATAACATGTACTACGAAGACGTAAAATAATACATATTATATTGAATATTCTTTTCAGAAATAAAATGGATTGGCTACAAAGTTCCATAATATGCATTAAATAAATTGCACCAATAATATTTTTCGTTGCCCAGGAGATATTCTATACAATATGTTTATACGTTTCTCCGATTACGATTCGTCTTCAATATCGTTTTTATTTCGTACGAATTATTTTCTAGTATAAAAAAAGTTATTTTAGTTTCACTTTATAACAATATTATAAATAACAGTTCAATAATGTGTGTAATGATTATAATTTTTTTCTATAAAACACAATTTTAAATTCATTCGAGTCTGAAAATAACTTGAACGTGTACCATACGAAGGTACTATAAATGTGGAACGACGACGAGCTACCCTACGGATATCATGACTGTGCTTTCAGAACACTTCTTACGGTCGGCGGTAATATCTCACAATTCAGTATCTAGTATCATCGTTAAAAACCAATTAATTGGATTCTCAAAGTAGCAATGAATTATTTATTGGTTTTACAAGGTCGAAAGTTTTTTAAATATAATTTTTTAGTTTTTACATTAAATAAAAATGTAAATAATATTAATTGTAGAGATTTGAATTTTTCATCAACTATTTGTCATGGATTTTTCTAGACAAAATACAGTTTTAAAAATATTTTGTATCTTCTTTGAGCTAGGCGTATGCTTATAAATATTTTAAGTTTACTTAATTTAGTTTTTTTTTTCACCGTTCTATATCTGTGTTTAAAAAGTTATTGTTAACATTAAAATATTAAATTTTTCGTTTTTGGTATTTAAACAATACCTATAATAATATTACACAAGAACAATTTAAATAATTAACTTCGACTCCAATAATAAACTATATATTTTATGATGTATGGGTACAGGTAGATAATTATTATATATACGGAAAGTTTTTGTCAATACATAGGTATATAATTATTATTATTCGTTTATATTTTAATTATTTTGGTGTACACAATGACTTATTTAAAAAATTATTAGATTAGTTTTATGATAATATTACCTATATCACTAACCTATTCATACCGTTCTATGGTACGTTGCAGGTATTGACTTGAGTCGTTGTAGATGTTTATATTATATTAAATAATTTCATAATTATAATAATTATAATAATTTAGCATTTGCGATTTCTCTAATATAAGTAAATATCTTCAAACAAAATCTAAAAAAAAAAAATTGCACTACAACAAAAGTGAAATATAACGGATGCTTTCCCGTGCGCATGAGCATGCCATCGGGCGCGTCCCCAGGTTGCGGATAGGGGAACGCCCTGAGGATATACTCTCAGGGTAGCTGCGAAATAAGTCATTCCTTCGGGATGGACGAATAAGCGGCCGCGGACAAGCTCACCCACCGGGGAACCGATTGACCCCCGGTGTCCCGGTAGATCACACTGGGAGACGACGCGAGGCTAGCTGGCGTCGTCGGTGGAGGCCAAGCCGACAGAAATACGAAAATAAACTGAACAAAC